GGTGTGAGGAAGGTGTCTGAAGACGGATGTTGCTGCCGAAAGAGCGAATTAAATAAGGCCGTTAATCGTTTTTTAAAAAAAGAGTTTCAAAATGATGTGATAAACATCTAAAGCGACCACCAATCCACAAAGTTGGATAGCCGTCTGGTACACAAAAGGACTGGAGAGAAATGTTAATTGCAAGCAAATACATGTAACGGCAAGATGCATCCCATAGAAAAAATAAGAAACGTGAAGCAATGAGAATAAATGTTTTCAACGGAGTGAGTTAAAGAACACTTAAAAAGGTAAAATGCATGCAATAAAGGAAATGGGAACATAACTTGAGAAAAATCACAAGAAAACTGAAAATTGAAAACATTGATCAGAAAACTGAACTGTTAACTAAAAAACCAACAGAAATTAGTCGAAACAAATAAATATCGGACGGGTTACATAAAACGATAACAAAATCTAAATGGGCAGTTTGCATAAATCAACCGAAATGATGCTGTCTTTAATACATGCTGACTGTGAAACGACCATCATGGAATACAACTACGTATTAAACGGTCTCGTGGTCGAACGCGAAAGGCTATAATGAATAATTGTCGGACTAGCTGCCAGATAGCTTAATAATGAGGAGTCACATATCACGACCCTTATAAAGCTGTGCGAGGTGGGCTAACGGCATTTCCACATGACAGAAGTATCAGATGCTAAGAAGCCCCAAGCGGCGTCAACTGAACGACTGAATTCCACACAAGCAGTCGAGACATGTTAGAAATTTAGATGTGCGCAACTTTTCCGCTTGCTCTCCTAATTCCTAATCCGAAGGCAACAGTAACAGTAGCGGCCTGTTTTCTCACATGCGCGTCCAATAGGTCATTTGAATATCATGTACGTCATTGCATGAAACATGAATTTAAACATAAAGATATTTCGAAATAAACAGCCACCCAGACGCCAAAAACATCCACCTGGCGGACCTTTCTATACGTACGAAATGTGTCTGAACCCGTCGAAATACAGCTGAAAAAGCATCTGATACAAGTAGCATACGAACCTACAACCACCTTGCGTACACAGCTTAGACACAGTAAGGACAGGGTTCGCTATCTTGGTAGAACGGCTTTGTATACAAAATACCATATTCCAGTTGTGATGCCGTTCACTGTGGCCAAACTAGGAAATCTGCCTCTACCCGCATACATGAGCATCAGTTAGCGGTGAGACGACGAGATCAGCTATCCCAGGTGTCTATGCACACACTGAACACTGGACACCAATTTACATGGGAGAACTTTCGCATTGTTGTTGCCTACCTAATAAGGAATGGCCGCGAATTCGTGGAGGTAATGCACTCAGATGAGGCATGCACAAATCGACATATCGATTTAGATGTCACATACAAATTTCTGGAGGACAAATAGAAGCGAGCGCAGCCAATGCCGAGGGGATGACGAAGAACCATTGACGCGCATTGGCGCAGGCTTCGGTCAACCATAGAATCACTTGTTCGACACGGTTAAAAAGTTACCTGTTTTCGTACATAACCCAAAAGTCTGAGAACGAGCTGGGGAACCAGACTCAAAAATTTACGCACTAACGGTTATTCACTTCCAAAGAATATAACGTATTTCCATTTATTTAACTATGTATATATCGGTTGGACGTTGAATTGATTAGACAGTTCTGCTTTGAAAATCTGTCTACCTTATCAGATTTGATGAAATCCAAAGGCTGAAATAACCACTGTTAGAATTAACATAAATCACGTCTTCTACTCAAGCACATTATCGCAGTTCTTTATTACAGCCTAAATACTACTCTCGCCTTGGATTTGTTGTCGTAGTTGGAATCCAAAAAATTGTTAATGCTTCTCCCAATTACGTCAAATGTCTTATGCAGTTCTGCAAAACACCTATTAATAAGTTGGGACTGGTTATTATCATGTGGGTGTAAGATGGATTGCTTAGATAATGCTTTATTGGCGGTCAACATTTTGTATGAAGTTTTTTTTAATGCTACATGTTACAATAGGCCGGTAGGTAAATTTACTCACATGGAATTGAATTCACGAGTGAGGATCGGACTCAAAAATTTATTTGCTTGCGGCGATGGCTGAGCAGGAACATGTATCCTTACGCTCACTTAGTTCAAATAACTCATCGCTCGGCGTGTCCTTATCCGACTGCTAACTCCTCTCAACTCCCATTTTTCTAGTTGTTATGTACAGACTAAGCAATCTCACAAACTGGCATCCCTCTTCTCTTTCCATTCAGGATCAGGGCTGAATGTCATGGTAGCCACAGTAGCATGCTCAGCCTAAGCTCCTTCAAAAATCTACAATTATCACCTATGTTGCTAATTATGCAAACGCTTTTTACGGTTGCTTGGAAGAAATTTTTTAATACAGAAATCCATCCCACCAGCAAAGTTTCCCAGGGTATGAATGTACTTAATCGTCCGGTTAACGATTCCTATGGAATATTTGTGTCTAACATGGAGATATTTTTTACACTCGGCTGTTCGCTCAGTGCAACTGACATCTCGTTTTTTCTAGGTAGTATTCCTTGCTCTTACATGCAATAGTTAATACATTCGTTCTATCGTACGGTCGCCCGATAAAGCATATAGTACTGTGCTCAATTCGTCTGTGAGCAAAATTTCGCCCACAAAATACTTTCATTAACTAGACAACCCAATTTTTTAGAGTACCTTCGTCGTATACGAAATGCTACAAACAACTATGCTACGTTATCTGGTGCCGAATATGTGCACAAGGCCACCCTGTAGATTACTCAAACCTAAAATCCGGAAGGGCACCACAGAGGCTACGTCGGGATGGCAGAATTTTAAATAACCTTTCAGCCTTGAAGAAGAAGACACGATCGCCGGGACAAGAACTTTATTAGCCTGACGTTTCGGATTCCTGCTCGAATCCATCATCAGAGACATAAGCAGATAAGGGTGGTTCATGCACATGTGGCTGCAGTATTTATAGGATGCCGTAGCCATGCTACCGCATACCTATGAATGTTCACGGCTCCCTCTCCTTCATCAGTGATCGTTGCACGTGGCGTGATGGTCGAAATTCGCGTCGTTAATTGCTGCAATTTCATCACGTGCGTTGGATGTTGGTGTGATGATTGCTCGACCATCTGACGCGCTGACCCGGGTGTTGGGAAGAGTGTTCATCAGGGCGCTCCCCGCGTGGCCAATTTCTCCGCCTAGACGAAGTCTCAGCACGCTGTATTGAATGGGAAGATCATTGCACTTGTTAATAGACTGGGGGCCAGTGAACTATGACTCAAGCAGCTCCCGGCTCACGCGGTTGTCACCTCTTGCGAGAATTTCGGCCTCGTCAAATTTGAATGTGTGGCCGGAACCCGTCGAATGAGCCGCAACTTGAGAGCCTGCGTCATTTCTCCGCACTGCTGCAGCGTGTTCGGCCATTCTCGTTCGGAGCTGTCTTTCGGTTTCTCCGACGTAGTTGCTTTGTCCGCAACTGCACCAGATCCGATAAACGACTCCAGACGTTTCTTGCCGTGGCAGTGGTTCTTTTGGTTTCATCAGTTGACGCCTGATGGTTGGCTCTGGCCTGTGTGCAACTCCAACCCCCAGCGGTGCGAGAAGGCGGCCAACAGCTTCCGAAACGTTCTTGACATGTGGAAGCGCTCGCCAAACTTTGGTGTCCCTGCGGTTAGGCTTTTCGTCCATTTTGCGTATGCACCGGTTGACAAAGTTGCTCTGGTAGCCATTGGCTTTGAATACCCGTCGAAGATATTGTAGTTCAGCAATTTTGTCTTCCGGCTCACTGCAGTGCGTTTCGACACGCCGAAAGAGCGTCCTTACACAACTGCGTTGATGGCTGATTGGGTGGTTACTGTTGAAGTTCAGTACTTGCATCGTATTTGTCGATTTCCTGAACACTTTGGTCTTTAGTCCACCACAATCCTTGCGGCATATGAGGACATCCAGGAAGGCCAGCTGGTTGTTCTCTTCCTCCTCCATCGTAAATTGTATGTCCGGGAAGACCGCATTCAGACATTCCTTGAATGTCAGCAGTTGATCCCGATCGATAACGACGAAGGTATCATCCACATACCGGGCCCAGAACGTCGGTTTGTGGTGTTGGAAGACCAGCGACACTAACCGTTGCAGGACCGCCTCGGGGATGAATCCCGAAATCGGCGAACCCATTGGTGTGCCCTTCACCTGTTCGTAGATTGTCCCGTCGAACGTGAAGTACGTCCAGAGACAGAACTTCAGGAGCTGAAGGACTTGGGCGCGTCCAAGACGATTCTCCGTTTCATCGTATTTGCTTTGCAGAGGCAGCTCGATTGTCTCGATCGCCAGGTCCTGAGGAATAGAACTAAAAAGGGATGTAACATCAAAAGATACCATGACCTCATTTGGATGGAGGCTTACCCCTTTGAGTTTCTCCAGGAATTCTGCTGACGAAGAGACCGTGGTGTCTGACTCAGCGGTCAGGAACTTGAGACGCCGGAACAGCCACTTAGCCAGTCCGTACGTTGGAGTACCTTTGAGCGACACGATGGGTCGGAGAGGAGCGCTGTCCTTGTGGAGCGCTCAGCCCCCTCATCATGAAGTCTTCATGGCAAACATAATCTTAGCAGTTCAAATTGAATCTCGGCGCGTCGTTAGGATTCGAATCCATTAGATCAAGAGGAAGGCATTAGTGAGCCAAATGTCTAGCCACCTGAGCTACGAGGACCCATCGGGAGACGTGAGGTAATTCACACCTGGGGCATGTTACTCGTCCACCTACTGCAACGTCTGGAATCCACCAAATGGAACACACTAAGCTGACTGCCCAAGAAGCATTTCCCAAGTAATTCCCGTAGAACCCACTAGATGCCTACCAGGCTCACGCAATTCATTGATGTTTTGGCAGCTTTTGAATAATGCATATGCTTTTTCACAACTGCCACTGGAAAAGCCAACTCAATCATCCTCTTGCGTGCTGTAAATCAAGCACACTTCTCGGTCGGTTGGCAACGGCAAGCTCTCCGCCTTTTCTAATCCTCCTTACAAGAGTATACCTGACAACAGCACTGAGAGAGAAGTTTATCGAAAAACCATCTAGTCTGAGCAACATCTACAATTTCGTAACCCTTTAAATGAGACGAATTCTTGTCCGGTTTTTGGCGGCAAAAGCCAGAAAATTCCGGTCTTTGAAGAATCTAGGACCTGCTTCGAGAGAATAGGTATTCTGACAGATTAATCGTAAAGAATCTTATGGGACATGAGGAAAAGCATTCTACAGACGGTGCAAAAGCAAGCTCCGTTTCGCATCGAGGATAGGCATGAACCGAGTCCACATCGCTTGAGTCGGCGTTGCTGGTGATGTAGATAGTGAATGGGGAGACTGATGACGTCCCGTCGATGGGTTGAGTGCGTGTGGGCATTGACGTAGTGATGAATTTTCTGGTGGTGAAGATGGTGCCTGTAGCTGTGGTGTTGGTGGTGGTGGTGCTGGTGGCTTTGTTGGTGGGGGTGGTAATGTTTCTGGTTTCTGAGGGATTATTTTAACTTAAGACGTCTTGATAGGGTGAGATAAACAAGCGCTTGGCAACTCAAAAGAATTTTGCGGGGCCTAGGATGCGGTGGGATAGCGGACTCGGTTGTGCGCTTTCCGAGTCTGAAGGCTTTTAACACTGAAGCTTCTTCGTTGGGTTGAAGCATTGTGTTAAGAAGACCTTGGAATAAGCCGAGACCAGCTACAACGCGTTCTTTAGGTGTGTCTGTGTGTGGCTCCTGAAGCCCCCGTATTACTAGGCACTGTTCTCGAAGCGGTCTGTCTTTGTTGCATGATGTTTGTGACTTGGGAGTTGCAGGCGAAACACTCATGAGTTTTTTCTCGTTGCCACCACCCTAGGCAGTTCTTTTTTTGAGTACTTCCAAGTCGTCCGATTTCTGCTTCTCCCTTTTCCAGTTATCAGTTCATTTTGATTTAACTTTTTCTTTTGATGTAACTTCAGTTGCATATGAACGGTCTGAGTCTTATTATTAATTGCCTTCATCTCCTCGATCTGATTGTGGGGGCGGGCAATTATCGTATACTTGCTGCTCTACTGGGATGTTTAATATCATGCCTTGTCATATACTCCTCAATTTCCTCTAAGGCTTCCATGGATATCCGGAAAAGTCAACTGTTGCCTAATCATGGCTAGTTTCCCCTCAATTAAGCAAACATAACATAAATTCTTCTTTCGAAAAGGACTTCATGGGGTTCCAATCCATTCTAAAGACAACATACACCACTCAAAATATATGCCGTACCGACAAATCCAATACCGATCTCGACATTCCCTGAATTAGGTCATCTAATATACATACCCCTGGAGATAGGCTAGCCTCGGTAATTGAACATTGGGATGCTTACTACTCATTTGAATTCGGAAGGTTGAAATAATTATATTTTGGGAGTGAAAGGAAATTGCTAATATCGGCAATGTTGTTCGCGGTCACCTTCCCACAAGCCGAAACAGGCTGTTGCTTGACGGCATCATCCTTGGAAACGAAATTGAATTTACAGAGGTTCGTATGCGGGCGTCTATCTGTGGAGCTAGGCGTGAGAGGAGATCAGTCCATCTGCATGAATACAGCCTGAGCCGTAATCGGTATACGTGGATATACCTGGATGCAGGGGCTGAAGATCATTACAGAGGGACTATTGCTAAATTCTTTTACTCGACTATCGAACAGGGCAAAATATCGGTGTGTCATTTAAATGATCACTCTACATTACAGTGTTCACTAAGGGCAACTGATGGCTCCTTATGCCTCGTCACTCCACTTAATCGTTATTTGAAGTGTTTGGTTAGTCGTCACAAAAACCTCCATAAGCAACCGAAATTCACAATGCCATGAATGTATTACTGTGTCCAGTTATTTGCAGGTGACAAACTGCATACCGGCACATTAATTTAGGAAAACAACGTAAAATTAAGAAATGCTGAAAAATTTATATAAACACACACACAATAGTCAGAATCTCACACGCACCTTCTGCACCACAACGTATTTCTTCAGTTAGTATTTCTCACATTTCACAAAAAGCTTTTTGTCCGGCTTCTTTTACCTTTCATGCAATGGAGACACCAGACACGTAGTATTTATTCGCATTTTCAACATTCATATATCCAAACTGTGGTTCGCATATGTACGAAAATTCGATTCTCAAAAAGCATCATCTGCACTTCACCGTTGGGGAAAATAATAAAACTCCAATCAAGGCAGATCATTTACTTAAATATGTCCAAAAATAACAAGCGTTTTTAGACCCACATCCGCGAATATCGTTATAATAATTCAATTCACAACACATATAATATGTGTCGATTGAATTAGTTTGACTGCAGCTTGAATGAGTTCTCGTAATCGATAAATGTAAGAATTGGCTTGGTTGCCCCTGTCGCATTCGACGGTTTTATCACGAGGTGTTGTTCACGACCTCCTTTGAAACCTATAACCATTGTTCGATTTTCTGTTCCTAAATGGCCCGTAAACAGCACGAGGTCTTTCTTCTGCACTCCTCAAAACACAAACGCATATGTTATAGCAGTCATGAATGAGATCAGTGCTACGATTTTATAGAGTCCTTGGCAACGTACCCGTCTTTCCCATGAGTGTGATGACATCTGAAAATCTGCCTTTCGTTGAGATATACCCGGAGACGCTTATATTCTACACAATGTGAGAACGAAAACCATGAACATAATAGTGACATGCAAAAATACCTACAGTGAAAAGTGAAGTGACATCCATTCCGGAAGAAATACTGGAAAATATTAAATGGGCCACCATATGCGACCAGCCAGTCTGGTGTTAGCATGCAGATTATACCGCATGGAGGGGAATCTACATCACACATCAATTTACATCAATTCATACATTACATCACATCAATTCATACATTAAATGCGGAAACCTCGGTAAAGCTAAATGCAGATACATGCACATTATGGGGATTACTCCGATACTGCATAAGTTAGACGACTAGACAGGCCACATGAAGGCGATATCACAGCAGTTTGACTCTCAGTCCTGGATGTATTTAAAGCCACAATACTCACCAAGCCATTAGGCATTTCAAAGCGTCGAACTACTGTGTTATGGATTTCACTGTTGTAGCGTGATGATGGATTCAAGAATGTAGATGTTACTAATTCTACCTCAATGCATCAACAAACTGTCTATGCGTATTAATCAACGAGTGGTGGGATTTGGTACAGGACATGATGTATCATGAATGCCGACCTCTAACTCATGGCATAAAGTCATGTGGGGCAGCAGTTAGGGGCAGTTAGGTGCAGATTCTGCGCAGCTCGGCAGAAGCATGCTGTGAGTCGATCGGAGTCTAAGGACGCCCGTCGAACCCGCAGAGCCGCTGTCAACATATTAAAATGCATACAAATATATGAATCGTCATTTAAAGTAAATGTTGGTAAGGGAAGTTATGTTTCATAATGACGCGGACAATCACAGTCATATACGTGTTAGACAAAAATTTGATGATTTTTAATTCTTTACCCCGATATCTGTATTAAATAGTAGGATGTGGATGAGCGTTTCATTTTTGAGAAGTTCTTTTGCAAAGACAGGTTTTACTCCTTCGGCCAGTGTCGAATCTGAAAAAAGGAGTTTCACAAATTGTTGCTTATTGCGTATACTTATAAAGCTAGTCAAATGACAAATTGTCCGTGGAGTTAACATTTATATACTGCACCATGTCACCAGAGCATTAACCAAACGACAAAATCTCTGCATTTATTTCATACGTTTAATGAAATCTTTAGTTAATAAGTACTCCGAAGAGACCATAATGAGATGTTTTATAGGAAGTATAGACCAAGCAATTTCGTTGACTTACAGGATGGCGTGTCAGCACGTTTGTACTGAACACCAATAGGACTTCTGGCTGTGGTATTCTCAGGGTACACTGCAAATGACGCATTGGATCCCACGAGGCGGCCGTAAGCGATTAAGTGCCGTGTGGCTATTAAAATGAAATTGTGACCGTGAACCAAACAGGTATGTCGCCGGAAATAAGGTCAAGGATGTTTATTCTATTTGTTAAAAGCCTTCGTTTTGAATGTGCAGACTGTACTGCATAGATTCCAGATATGCGTTAAGGTCCAAAAAAATAAACCTGTAACTTACCGTTAATAATTTCCCAGCAGTCATTTGGTGCCACACAATGTGAACCGTTGACCGGGTTCGAAATATTTACACCGTCAACCGTTACATACTGCAAGGAAAGCATTCGCATTAGCTCGGGCAAGTGGCAAATCACTGTATCTATCAGTTGGCAGAGCGTACCTCAACACCTTCCCCCAGAAGATTTTTTGTATAAACATAATCGCTGTTCTCTTTAAACGTCAACTGTTCAACGAACAACCCATATAGACGATCAAAGTTCAAATCAACGACATTGTTTTAAATACAAACGTCCGATAAACGCACACGGGAATATCGTTTCGAAAGAGCATTTCAGAACGAACAAGTCATCCATCGACTGAATTCGTTTCACTACAACTTGAAGGAGTTCTCTTAGTCGATAAATGCTAGAATTGCCATGGTCACCCCCGTCATATTGGATGGTCCTATCTCGATATGCTTAACGCCTCTGTCTTCGAAACGCTTTTTTGCATTACTGATGATTTTGTTCCTATGTAACCCGAAAACAAGGCACAAGGTCGTCCTTCTGCACTCCTAGAAACACACACACATATCAGGGGGAATACCGCCATAAGGAAGTTCATGTCGGCAAACGTCCGTTTTTGAGTATTCTTCGTCAGGACTGTACATTAATATAGAGCTGGTTAAAACAACGAAATTTCAGATGTAAAGCAACTTATGAACAGCAGTCATAACATGAAGTAATGCGTTTAGACTGGTGATGACTCATGAATCAACCGACACGTTGAATTGGATGCTGTGTACAACAACCTTAAGGTTAACTAGAAAAAGCATTGGCCAATTAGAAAATTATGCTAAGAGGAGTGACAAAGCAAAATCGATTTTTAGGCATATTTAATCGGTAACTGTTTTGCACACTTACATCACGTCTGAGAACGACTTGGGGAACCAAAGTAGAAAATGTACCATAAATTTGTTTATTTTTCCCAAAGAACTGATTTCCTCCGAACTATATTTCTTTGGATGACTGTTTCCGGAATTCATATATATATATATGAGATGGAGCCGACAAAGACAAGGGAGACCAGGTCCATCTCATCTATGTCTACTATTAGTCGCTGTGCGACTGCCTGCGAGGGTTTAGGTATGAGACACAAGGCACAACGGAACGAGCATGTTCCGTCACCTGATCAGCGTGCGCACACTGTCATAATATATATATATATATATAGGCTGAAGGATATTACCGACAAAGAAAAGGGAGACTGGAATGGCCATTTCTGGCTTATAGCCGTCGTCAGCCAGCCATACCCAAGCCCGAAGTGTGGAACACCCGAGCCTCGAACTCGAGACCTGTTGGTTAAGAAGTCAACGCCTCTACTCACCGGGCCAGGAGCCCGTTGCCCTGTCGGTTTTCGATCGGCATATACAATGTTAGGGGGCGCTCACCGATCGTGGATACGGAACTCACTCGTTCCGTTTTGCCTTAAGGGCTCTCTCTCGAGCCCAACCAGCAGCCGCACAGCGGTGCATGATATATAGGCAGAATGATATTACCGACAAAGAAATGGGAGACTGGAATGGCCATTTCTAGCTTATTAGCCGTCGTCAGCCAGTCATACCCAAGCCCGAAATGTGGAACACCCGAGCCTTGAACTCACGACCCGTTAGTTAGAAGTCCACGCCCCTAACCACTGCGCCACGAGCCCGTTGCCCTGTCGATTGTCGATCTTGAATATACAATGTTAGGTGGCGCTCACCGATGGTTCGTACGGAACTCACTCGTTCCATTTTGAGTTGGGCTCGAGAGAGCCCTTAAGGCACAACGGAACGAGTAAGTTCCGTATGAACGATCGGTGAGCGCCCCCTACCATTATTTTGGGCAAGCAGTCAGGGTCGAATCCCATAAATGCTCGCCTAATGAGTAGCAATGTAGCCGTGGCCGATTTAGCCGCCTTCGCACCTCGAACTCGCGACGTGTTGGTATAGAAGTCAACGCCTCTACTCACCGGGCCACGAGACCGTTGCCGCATATGACCATCTGGATCGACTAAATTACCTTATCAAAAATAAGACTTAATCACATGACTTACTGCTCTTCCAGAATGACTCCGGCAATCAACTCATGTCTTTATAAATATAAAACGTTATTTTATGTTTTCTACATCAAACGGCTTGATAATGGCTCATTGTTGATACAGTTCAATTTCCCACATATCTGCCGTAATTATGTTTATAGAGAACAGCCGCACATACTGCCAGGGAATTTTCTACATGTGCATATAATGATTGTACTGGCAATAAAATCGTCGCTGTGCTTACATTTGGACCACTTCGATCCACCCTGCTTATTTCTGGGTACAGTTCTACCATTAGGCATTCGTAGCAGAGTAAACTTATTGCTATTAAAGGCACTTCCTAAAGGCTCATGTGACAACACTTCGGCTGCTAATTTCCGTATTCCTCCGCTGAATTTTATGGTACCGAGATCAAATTTGCCGTTTTCAGACCAAATTTATTTCAAACTTATACCGTTTATAATAATCTTTGTTTACAGCAAAATGCACATAAACATGATAAAGTAATCTGAAAATTCAAATGGCATAAGACATTATTTGAATATAAAGAATGGTCAGATTTTGCCAAAACCTGAAATGTTTTCTTTTAATAGCGCAGACTAGAAATTAATCACTCGATAGAAAATTTCGTCTGTGTCTCAAATCATTTTACTAAACATAAATAACAACTCTGAAGGCATAGCACAAATTTCTTAAATTTTGAATACGGAACTTCATGAGTGAGGCCACCTACTTTATGTGTACTTGAGCAACAAACTTGTGTAGTTGGCGGAATTAAAAAAATCCATCAAGCAAATCAAGAAATCTTTGATGGGTTCGGTGCCAAAGTCCACTAAAAACTATATGAACCCGTCAGTCCTCTAGGTGATGATCCACTGATTTTCCAGAACATTATCATGCATATTTAGCATCCTTCATCCGAATTGGGGAATTCCATAGCCCGCAGAGGCTTTTTTACTTGATTAAGGGAACATAACCTGAGAAAAATCACAAGAAAGCTGAAAATTAAAAACATTGATCAGAAAACTGAACTGTTAACTAAAATACCAACAGAAATTAGTCGAAACAAATAAATATCGGACGGGTTACATAAAACGATAACAAAATCTAAATGAGCAGTCCGCATAAATCAACCGAAATGATGCTGTCTTTAATACATGCTGACTGTGAAACGACCATCATGGAATACAACTACGTATTAAACGGTCTCGTGGACGAACGCGAAAGGCTATAACGAATAATTGTCGGACTAGCTGCCAGATAGCTTAATAATGAGGAGTCACATATCACGACCCTTATAAAGCTGTGCGAGGTGGGCTAACGGCATTTCCACATGGCAGAAGTATCAGATGCTAAGAAGCCCCAAGCGGCGTCAACTGAACGACTGAATTCCACACAAGCAGTCGAGACATGTTAGCAATTTAGATGTGCGCAACTTTTCCGCTTGCTCTCCTAATTCCTAATCCGAAGGCAACAGTAACAGTAGCGGCCTGTTTTCTCACATGCGCGTCCAATAGGTCATTCGAATATCATGTACGTCATTGCATGAAACATGAGTTTAAACATAAAGGTATTTCGAAATAAACAGCCACCCAGACGCCAAAAACATCCACCTGGCGGACCTTTCTATACGTACGAAATGTGTCTGAACCCGTCGAAATACAGCTGAAAAAGCGTCTGATACAAGTAGCATACGAACCTACAACCACCTTGCGTACACAGCTTAGACACAGTAAGTACAGGGTTCGCTATCTTGGTAGAAAGGCTTTGTATACAAAATACCATATTCCAGTTGTGATGCCGTTCACTGTGGCCAAACTAGGAAATCGGCCTCTACCCGCATACACGAGCATCAGTTAGCGGTGAGACAACGAGATCAGCTATCCCAGGTGGCTATGCACACAGTGAACACTGGACACCAATTTACATGGGAGAATTTTCGCATTGTTGTTGCCTGTATAATAAGGAATGACCGCGAATTCGTGGAGGTAATGCACTCAGATGAGGCATGCATCAATCGACATATCGGTTTAGATGTCACATACAAATTTCTGGAGGACAAATAGAAGCGAGCGCAGCCAATGCCGAGGGGATGACGAAGAACCATTGACGCGCATTGGCGCAGGCTTCGGTCAACCATAGAATCTCTTGTGCGACACGGTTAAAAAGTTACCTGTTTTCGTACATAACCCAAAAGTCTGAGAACGAGCTGGGGAACCAGACTCAAAAATTTACGCACTAACGGTTATTCACTTCCAAAGAATATTACGTATTTCCATTTATTTAACTATGTATATATCGGTTGGACGTTGAATTGATTAGACAGTTCTGCTTTGAAAATCAGTCTGCCTTATCAGATTTGATGAAATCCAAAGGCTGAGATAACCACTGTTAGAATTAACTTAAATCACGTCTTCTACTCAAGCACATTATCGCAGTTCTTTATTACAGCCTAAATACTACTCTCGCCTTGGATTTGTTGTCGTAGTTGGAATCCAAAAAAATTGTCAATGCTTCTCCCAATTACGTCAAATGTCTTATGTAGTTCTGCAAAGCACCTATTAATAAGTTGGGACTGGCTATTATCATGTGGGTGTAAGATGGATTGCTTATATAATGCTGTATTGGCGGTCAACATTTTGTATGAAGTTTTTTTAATGCTACATGTTACTATAGGCCGATAGGTAAATTTACTCACATGGAATCGAATTCACGAGTGAGGATCGGACTCATAAATTTATTTGCTTGCGGCGTTGGCTGAGCAGGAACATGTATCCTTACGCTCACTTAGTTCAAATAACTCATCGCTCGGCGTGTCCTTATCCGACTGCTAACTCCTCTCAACTCCCATTTTTCTAGTTGTTATGTACAGACTAAGTAATCTCACAAACTGGCATCCCTCTTCTCTTTCCATTCAGGACCAGGGTTGGATGTCATGGTAGCCACAGTAGCACGCTCAGCATAAGCTCCTCCAAAAATCTACAATTATCACCTATGTTGCTAATTATACAAACGCTTTTTACGGTTGTTTGGAAGAAATTTTTAAAAAGACCACTCTGATTTCGGGTGACGTGTATGCGGATGTACATAGGTATATACTGCGTATATACTGATTAAACCCTACTTAAGCAATATTTTAAGTCAATAACTGATTTCAGAAATTCGGTTAAAATGTCGTGATTTATCACACTGTGGTACCTGTGCTTGTTTTACTGTAGAATTAATTCACCACGGGAGCTGCTATTCATCGTATCAATTACCTCGTCCTCTTCCAGCCTATTTGAGTTTACATAGGCATTATGGGTCAATTCCGTATTTATTCAAATAACATGCACTCACGAAAGGGCATTTAAGACGCTGGCTATTATGATTGGCGCAAGACCATTTTCGTTGGTGCTAATATTTGGCCTGTTGCATCTTACGACAAGCACCAATACGACAGGCAGGAAAGTTGACAACTCTCGGACATTGTGAGCGTTGACCGATGCGGCGTACACAGCGAGAATGTCGAATATGATGCGTAACAAGCGATATATTGATAACGCATACACTGCGTAATTATTAAATAAGCTAAAACCCAGCAGTTACTAGTCGAGCTGCCGTAATTTATGCAGGCTCGGCTGAATCATTTGCGTCTGGGAAAGTACTGAGTATAAACTGCGCCACGCCAGGATTACATGGTTTCCATTAAGTTTATGACTTAATTTCGGTGGAGTTGTACGGTGTAAATCGTCATTTTCAACAGGTATTTATGTTACCCACAGTGGTGATAGGCGTTGTATGCTAGGAGTTGTACTACTGCCTACTGGAACCTGAAATGAGAATGACGTTTTCTAATACAGAAAGCCATCCCACCAGCAAAGTTTCCCAGGGTATGAATGTACTTAATCGTCCGGTTAACGATTCCTATGGAATATTTGTGTCTAACGTGGAGATATTTTTTACACTCGGCTGTTCATTCAGTGCAACTGACATCTCGTTTTTTTAGGTAGTATTCCTTGCTCTTACATGCAATAGTTAATACATTCGTTCTATCGTACGGTCGCCCGATAAAGCATATATTACTGTGCTTAATTCGTCGGTGAGCAACATTTCACCCACAAAATACTTTCATTAGCTAGACAACCCAATTTTTTAGAGTACCTGCGTCTTATACGAAATGCGACAAACAACTATGCTACGTTATCTGGTGCCGAATATGTGCACAAGGCCACCCTGTAGATTACTCAAACCTAAAATCCGTAAGGGCAGCACAGAGGCTACGTCGGGATGGCAGAATTTTAAATAACCTTTCAGCCCCCTCATCATGAAGTCTTCATGGCAAACATAATCTTAGCAGTTCAAATTGAATCTCGGCGCGTTGATAGGATTCGAATTCATTAGATCAAGAGGAAGGCATTAGTGAGCCAAATGTCTAGCCACCTGAGCTACGAGGACACACCGGGAGACATGAGGTAATTCACACCTGGGGCATGTTACTCGTCCACCTGCTGCAACGTCTGGAATCCACCAAATGTAAAACAATAAGCTGGCTGCCCAAGCAGTATTTTCCCAGTAATTCACCTAGAACCCACTAGGTGACTATCAGGCTCACGCAATTCATTGAAGTTTTGGCAACTTTTGAATAATTCATATGCATTTTCACATCTGCCGCCGGAAAAGCAAACACAGTCAACCTCCTGCGTGCTGTAAATCGAGGACATTTCGCGGTCAGGTGGCAACGGCAAGTTCTCCGCCTTCTCTAATCTTCCTTACAAGAGTATACCTGACAACAGCACTCAGAGAGAAGTTTATCAAAAAACCATCTAGTCTGAACAACATCTACAATTTCGTAACCTTTTAAATGAGACGAATTCTTGTCCGGTTTTTGGCGGCAAAAGCCAGAAAATTCCGGTCTTAGAAGAATCTAGGACCTGCTTCGAGAGAATAGGTATTCTGACAGATTAATCGTAAAGAATCTTACGGGACATCAGGAAAAGCATTCTACAGACGGTGCAAAAGCAAGCTCCGTTTTGCATCGAAGATAGGCATGAACCGAGTCCACATCGCTTGAGCCGGCGTTGCTGGTGATGTAGATAGTGAATGGGGAGACTGATGTCGTCCCGTCGGTGGGTTGAGTGCGTGTGGTCATTGACGTAGTGATGAATTTTCTGGTGGTGAAGATGGTGCCTGTGGCTGTGGTGGTGGTAGTGCCTTTGTTGGTGGGGGTGGTAATGGTTCTGGTTTCTGAGGGATTATTTTAACTTAAGACGTCTTGATAGGGTGAGATAAACAAGCGCTTGGCAACTCAAAAGAATTTTGAGGGGCCTAGGATGCGGTAGGATAGCGGACTCGGTTGTGCGCTTTCCGAGTCTGAAGGCTTTTAACACTGAAGCTTCTTCGTTGGGTTGAAGCATTGTGTTTAGAAGACCTTGGAACAAGCCGAGACCATCTACAACGCGTTCTTTAGGTGTGTCTGTGTGTGGCTACTGAAGTCCCCGTATTACTAGGCACTGTTCTCGAAGCGGTATGTCTTTGTTGCATGATGTTTGTGACTTGGGAGTTGCAGGCGAAGCACTCATGAGTTTTGTCTCGTTGCCATCCTCTTAAGGGATGTTTTCTTAAACTAATGTCATGGTGCTCGTGGCAATACTGCTGTTGTCTTTTATGTCAATAAAGAGGATATTCGCATTCGCTACGTCTGTATCTACGCGAGCGCTAGAGGTTTCTGTCGAATGCTCAGATGAGCTCTGTTTTTCCACCCTAGGCAGTTCTTTTTTGAGTACTTCCAAGTCGTCCGATTTCTGTTTCTCCCTTTTCCAGTTATCAGTTCATTTTGATTTAACTTTTTCTTTTGATGTGACCTCAGTTGCATTTGAACGGTCTGAGTCTTATAATTAATTGCCTTCTTCTCCTCGATCTGATTGTGGGGCGGGCAATTATCGTATGCTTGCTGCTCTACTGGGATGTTTAATATCATGCCTTGTCATATACTCCTCAATTTCCTCTAAGGCTTCCATGGATATCCGGAAAAGTCAACTGTTGCCTAATCATGGCTAGTTTCCCCTCAATTAAGCAAACATAACATAAATTCTTCTTTCGAAAAGGACTTTATGGGGTTCCAATCCATTCTTAAGACAACATAAACCACTCAAAATATATGCCGTACCGACAAATCCAATACCGATCTCGACATTCTATGAATTAGGTCATCTAATATACATACCCCTGGAGATAGGCTATCCTAGGTAATTGAACATTGGGATGATTACTACTCATTTGAATTCGGTAGGTTGAAATAATTATATTTCGGGAGTGAAAGGAAATTGCTAATATCGGCAATGTTGTTCGCGGTCACCTTCCCACAAGCCGACACAGGCTGTTGCTTGACGGCATCATCCTTGAAAACGAAATTGAATTTACAGAGGTTCGTATGCGGGCGTCTATCTGTGGAGCTAGGCGTGAGAGGAGATGAGTCCATCTGCATGAATACAGCCTGAGCCGTAATCGGTATACGTGGATATACCTGGATGCAGGGGCTGAAGATCATTACAGAGGGACTATTGCTAAATTCTTTTACTCGACTATCGAACAGGGCAAAATATCGGTGTGCCATTTAAATGATCACTCTACATTATGCTGTTCACTAAGGGCAACTGATGGCTCCTTATGCCTCGTCAATATTCCCTGTTGATTCTTGTTTTGGACCAGAGATGCACAGTACCTCACGACCCTCCACTTAATCGTTATTTGAAGTGTTTGGTTAGTCGTCACAAAAACCTCCATAAGCAACCGAAATTCACAATGCCATGAATGTATTACTGTGTCCAGTTATTTGCAGGTGACAATCTTCATACCGGCACATTAATTTAGGATAACACCGTAAAATTAAGAAATGCTGAAAAATTTATATAAACACACACACAATAGTCAGAATCTTACACGCACCTTCTGCACCACAACGTATTTCTTCAGTTAGTATTTCTCACATTTCACAAAAAGCTTTTTGTCCGGCTTCTTTTACCTTTCATGCAATGGAGACACCAGACACGTAGTATTTATTCGCATTTTCAACATTCATATATCCAATCTGTGGTTCGCATATGTACGAAAATTCGATTCTCAAAAAGCATCATCTGCGCTTTACCGTTGGGGAAAATAATAAATCTCCAATGAAAGCACACCATTTACTTAAATATGTCCAAAAATAACAAGCGTTTTTAGACCCACATCCGCGAATATCGTTATAATAATTCAATTCACAACACATATAACATGTGTCGATTGAATTAGTTTGACTCCTGCTTGAATGAGTTCTCGTAATCGATAAATGTAAGAATTGGCTTGATTGCCCCTGTCGCATTCGACGGTTTTATCACGAGGTGTTGTTCACGACCTCCTTTGAAACCTAAAACCATTGTTCGATTCACTGTTCCCAAATGGCCCGTAAACAGCACGAGGTCTTTCTTCTGCACTCCTAAAAAACACAAACGCATATGTTATAGCAGTCATGAATGAGATCAGTGCTACGATTTTATAGAGTCCTTGGCAACGTACCCGTCTTTCCCATGAGAGTGATGACATCTGAAAATCTGCCTTTAGTTGAGATATACCCGGAGACGCTTATATTCTACAAAATGTGAGAATGCAAACCATGAACAGAATAGTGACATGCAAAAATACCTACAGTGAAAAGTGAAGTGACATCCATTCCGGAAGAAATACTGGAAAATACTAAATGGGCCACCATATGCGACCAGCCAGTCTGGTGTTAGCATGCAGATTATACCGCATGGAGGGAAATCTACATCACACATCAATTTACATCAATTCATACATTACATCACATCAATTCATACATTAAATGCGGAAACCTCGGTAAAGCTAAATGCAGATACATGCACATTATGGGGATTACTCCGATACTGCATAAGTAAGACGACTAGACAGCCAACATGAAGGCGATATCACAGCAGTTTGACTCTCAGTCCTGGATGCATTTGAAGCCACAATACTTACCAAGCCATTACGCATTTCAAAGCGTCAAACTACTGTGTTATGGATTTCACTGTTGTAGCGTGATGATGGATTCAAGAATGTAGATGTTACTTATTCTACCTCAATGCATCAACAAACTGTCTATGCGTATTAATCAAGGAGTGGTGGGATTTGGTACAGGATATGATGTATCATGAATGCCGACCTCTAACTCATGGCATAAAGTCATGTGGGGCAGCAGTTAGGGGCAGTTAGGTGCAAATTCTGCGCAGCTCGGCAGAAGCATGCTGTGAGTTAATCGGAGTCTAAGGACGCCCGTCGAACCCGCAGAGCCGCAGTCAACATATTAAAATGCATACAAATATAAGAATCGTCATTCAAAGTAAATGTTGGTAAGGAAAGTTATGTTTCATAATGACGCGGACAATCACAGTCATATACGTGTTAGACAAAAATTTGATGATTTTTAATTCTTTACCCCGATATCTGTATTAAATAGTAGGATGTGGATGAGCGTTTCATTGTTGAGAAGTTCTTTTGCAAAGACAGGTTTTACTCCTTCGGCCAGTGTCGAATCTGAAAATAGGAGTTTCACAAATGTTTGCTTATTGCGTATACTTATAAAGCTAGTCAAATGACAAATTTTCCGTGGAGTTAACATTTATATACTGTACCATGTCACCAGAGCATTAACCAAACGATAAAATCTCTGCATTTATTTCATACGTTTAAAGACATCTTTAGTTAATAAGTACGCCGAAGAGACCATAATGAGATGTTTTATAGGAAGTATAGACCAAGCAATTTCGTTGACTTACAGGATGGCGTGTCAGCACGTTTGTACTGAACACCAATAGGACTTCTGGCTGTGGCATTCTCAGGGTACACTGTAAATGACGCACTGGATCCCGCGAGGCGGCCGTAAGCGATTAAGTGCCGTGTGGCTATTAAAATGAAATTGTGACCGTGAACCAAACAGGTATGTCGCCGGAAATAAGGTCAAGGATGTTTATTCTATTTGTTAAAAGCCTTCGTTTTGAATGTGCAGACTGTACTGCATAGATTCCAGATATGCGTTAAGGTCCAAAAAAATAAACCTGTAACTTACCGTAAATAATTTCCCAGCAGTCATTTGGTGCCACACAATGTGAACCGTTGGTCGGGTTCGAAATATTTACACCGTCAACCGTTATATACTGCAAGGAAAGCATTCACGTTAGCTCGGGCAAGTGGCAAATCACTGTATCTATCAGTTGGCAGAGCGTACCTCAACACCTTCCCCCAGAAGATTTTTTGTATAAACATAATCGCTATTCTCTTTAAACGTCAACTGTTCAACGAACAACCCATTGACTAAAACCAAGTAAATGTGATTTATGTTTGGCTTAAGTCAAAAACATACCTTTACCCAAAACTCCACACGCAATTGTCAGTATAAGTAGATGGCAACGCATTTCCACAGTATAACACGCGTGAAAATTTCTAATCCATTCTTTATATACAACCTGCGAGCCAATGGTTGTTCCCCGATAATACCCAGGCTATGCACTTCGCACGCTCCAAAAGGACTATTTTGAGTAGGCGTGTTGTTTTTGACTTTACAGTGAAAGGATGAATGAATTTAAATTATGCAGCTGCAGTAATTTCTGCCAAAATTAACGACAATCGCGTCACCTTTTCCGGGCACAAAATGGCAGTTGTTTATTACAGACTACATACTACTCTGACCTTAAATTTGCTGTTGTAGGCGGAACTCAAAAAAAACGTCAGTTCTTCCACAGTTACGTCACATGTATTATGCAGTACTGGGAAAAACAGCTACTTATACGCGGGGAATCGTTTTTTTATCATGTGGATGAGCTGGATGATTTGCTTAGATAATGCTGTCTCGGCAGTCAGTATGCTGTTTGAGATTTTTTGAATTCATACTTTTACTGTAGGCAGGACGCGCAAAGGAATTCAGGACCGAAGAATTGATTTTAAGACTAAAGAACTGGTCTCTCAAGTTTATCTTCTTAAAATGTTGGCTATGCAGAAGCACTCATCTATACCCTCACTGAGGCAAACCAACCCGAGCTCGCCTTCATGATTTTCTCTGTGATTACAAATGACATAATTCAATATGCCGATATAACTAGGAAATATGGGCGACACTTGTAGGCATCTGGTGGCATCTAGAGAAAGTACTTCGACAATATTTTTGGTCTTCGACTTACTCAGAATTAAATTGGTGGATTCCGGCATACGTCATGGAAAGCGGAACGAAGCGCATGACAGAAATGAGATAAAACTGACAGCTTGCATGCGGGCCGTTCTATCTGACGTGTTCAGAGCCTTGGTTATAATTTGGACTTTTCCCCGCTGTCAGTCTTTTACGTTATATCAACACCGTCAAAAAGTTAAAAGCCGTCTCCAACCAAATCCGCCGTTTTAATTTCTTCTTTTTTTATATAAGCTGTGTTTTCTCAAATGACCGTTTTTATTGCTTTTTGGCATTTCCATAGAATTCGTTTGTACATCCATCAGACAATATATCAATATTCCACATCTCTTGATCTCCTTCTTAAAGCTGATTGCTTAAATCAAGCACAGCTCCCGCTGTCAGTGTTTGCGTCATATCAAGGCAACCAACATTTGTAAAATTTCTTCCAATCAATTCCGCCGTTTTAAATTCTATTTGTATTACTTCAGCACAAAATAAACAACCCTCTCAGCGAGCCTCCATCTACTCATTCCATTCGGTATCAAACATAACATTGTGGTATCCAGGGACTCACACTCTCTCTAAGCTCCTGTAACATATATAATATTACCAATTATGTTTTTAATTATATCGAAAAACGTTTTTTAGATTCACAATGTATTTTCCTGTAAAAGATGTATAAGCAACCTGCATTGTTGTCAGAAGTGAACGATTTAGCACATTTCAGAAGGCTCCATGGTTGCTTTGCATGCCTTTTTCAAAAGAGCACTGTGACTTGAGGTATCGGATGGGTGTGGTTGGTGTGAATTCTACGTTGAACGCAGGCTTGCGGGCCTCTGCAGACAAAATCGCAAATATCAATTCACCCGCAATTTCGAGTGCAGTGCGGATCTGTGAAGGATTAAAGCGATCTGACCTAAGCAGAAAATCAGAAGATGTGGAACATTGATATAATGTTTGATGAGTATGCAAACAGATATTAGAGAAATGCTAAAAAATGCAAAAGCGGTCATCTAAAGAAGCAAAGCTGATGTAATACTAGTAGAAATTAGAACGGCTAAATTGATTGAGGACAATTTTCAGAATGTAGGTGAAATAGACATGATGCAGAAGACATTGAATTGATTTGAGGCGGCAATCTATCCTTGCGTTCTCCGCGTAAAATAGGGTAAGTAGAGAGTGATATGCGAACCGTTGCTGCTAGGAAGGTTATTGAGACAGCTAGATCAAGGCGCCTTCTCAGTAGTTCACCTGCATCGTCTCCTTTGAAAGGAACTTTGAGTAACAAACTTTCTTTTTGGCTGTCATGGTGGGGGATTTTGCGAGTCGTTAGGTAGTGTTCTTTGCAATGAACTCGCCAGGATACCCGTTTTTACGAAGCAAGTCCTATATTTTTCTAAGTTCCTCCATGGTATTAGCGGTCAAGCAAATCATTCGAGCTTTCTGTGCAAAACGCCTGACTGGATTTTGTTCTTGTTGGAGTGGTACGAAATTAACAAACTCCGTGTATTGTCTAGACTAGGTTTTCTTCAGATAGAATTCAATCCACGACTTCTCAAGTCTATATGTGTTATTCAATACTGGAACAAGCACCCACTAGTAAGGTACGATTGGTTTTTATTCATGTAAATGTGCTAAATGAATTGCTTAGAGCATACTGTCTCGGCAATCAGTAGGCTGATTGGAATTTTTTAATTCCGTAGTTTGCAGTCGGCGTGAAGCACAAACTAATGTAGATAGAATTGATTTCACGACTGAGGAACTCGTCTCACAAGTCAATTTCTTGGAGGTGTTGTCTAAGCAGAAGCACACATCCTTATTCTCGCTGAGGTCAACCAACCCGAGCTCAGCTTCATGATTTTTACAATGACTACCAATGGTATAATCTAATAAGTCGATACAACTATGAAATATGAGCGACACTGTTAGGAATCTGGTGGCAGCTTTAGTAATTACTTTTAAAATCTTTTGAAGGCCTTCGATTTACTCGGAAAGAATTTATGGATTCCATTATACGCATACAAAACGGAACGGAGCGCATGACCGAGAGGGGATTAAACTGACAGCTTGCACGTTGCTCATTCTATTTGACGTGTTTAGAGCCTTGATTGTAATTTGAATTTTCCCCGCTGTCAGTCTTTTACGTCATATAAACGCCGGCAAAATTTTGCAGGTTGACTTCAATCAATTCCGCCGTTCTAATTTCTGTTTTTATTACATCAGTTGTGTTTTTTCAGACGACCGGTTATTCGCTTTTGGCATTTCAATTGAATTGGTTTGTACATTCATCAGACAATATGTCAATATTCCATATCCCCTGATCTCCTACTTAAAGCCGATCGCTTAAATCCTGCACAGGTCCGCAATGCTCTTGAAATTGAGGGTGAATGAATATTTGCGTTTTGTCTGTAGAGGCCCGAAAGCCTGCGTTCAACGTAGAATTCACACCAACCACACCCATCCGACACCGCAGGTCACAGCGGTCTTTTTAAAAATGCATGCCAAGCAACCATGGAGCCTACTGAAATGTGCGAAATCATTCACTTCTGACAATAGTACAGGTTGCCTAAATACTTTTGTTAGAAAAGTCCACCATGAGGCTTCAAAAAGAGTTTTGATAAAATTAACAACATAAGTAAAAATAGCAGATTATTTGCAGGAGGTTCGGGTCCGACCCCGAATCGAACGACTAGATGGAGACCAGTTGGGAGGATTGCTAATCTGTGCAAAAAAACTAGAAAATGATTTGGAGAGCAGTCTGATGGAGCAACGCCCAGCGTCTCGTGAGTGGTGTCCCTAGTCTGTGTCAGGGTATGCGTCAAAGCGTCTTAAGGCAGGCAAGTCCGGGCAAGGTTTTGAGTCTGATTGGTCAGTTAAAAAGCCGGTGGACGAATGCCATACAGGCACAGACCACACATGCAGACATTTGCGAGAAGCATAGTGTTGGATCAAGCACTGGGAGTAAGGACACTACATTACCGTGCAAATATAAGACAGGACTTAAACGTCTGCAGTCATTGGTACCGCAGATCAAATGAATTTGCGAAAATTACGAAAACTTAAGTAGTCGAGGTCGGGTTGGTTGACCTCAGCGAGAATAAGGATGAATGCTTCTGTTCAGCCAACATCTCAAGGAAATAAACTTAGGGACCAGTTCCTCATTCGTAAATTTAATTCTGTCTGGTTTACTTTGCGTGTCCGGCCTACAATAAATTTAGGAATTCGAAAAATCTCAATTAGCATGCTGACTGCCGAGGCGGCATTTGCTAAGCGATTCATTCCACAGATCCACATGATAAAAAATCAGTCCCAACGTATTACTAGGTTTTCTTCCCTGTACCGCATAATACATTTGACGTAAGTGTGAGAAGCATGGATGGCGACTTTTGGATTCCGCCTACGACAATAAAGTTAAGGCCAGAGCAGCAAGTAGACTGTAATAAACAACTGCGATAATGTGTCTGCAAGGGGAGACGAGTTTTTTGTTAATCCTGACACAGGTTGCTGCAGCCTCTGTACTTCTTTAAGCCTGGGTCCTTATAGGTCACACGAAACGCTTTATTGCGGTCTACTTTGTGTTCGAAATCGACAGCATGCGCGAGAATGGCGCTGCTTATGTTCCTAATTTCGCCTTTTGCCAGCCATGCCGGGAGTTGTTCCCGTATTCTCTTGGATAAACGCCGACTCGTGCGACCAATATAACCTGCTCCACAGGAGCAAGTGAAGGAAAAGATGCACATTGAAGTGGTCTGTGGTGGCAACGTATCCTTACCTTCTCCGCGTAAAATAGGGTTAGTAGATAAGGAAACTGGACCCTTGCCCCTGAAATGTTCGCGAAACAGCTTGATCAAGGCGTCCCTTTAGGACTCCAATCGCAGCGTCCCGTTGAGAAGGGACTTTAAGGAACACAATTTCCTTTTCGGCAGTCGGTGTGGCGGGTTTTACCGGTCGTTCGGCCATAATATTTGCAATAAATCTGTCCGGATACCAGTTTTCGCGAAGGAAGTCCTGGATTTTTCTAAGTTCCTCCTCGAAGCTACCTGTTGAGCAAATGCTTCTAGCTCTTTGCGCGAAAATTTGGACTAGATTTCGTTTTTGTTGTAGGGCTATAAAACTAGCTCAGATTATGTATTGTCCAGACCAGGTTTTTTTTCGGTAGATGCTTTTTGGACACTCCCGTCAGGTCTCTTGCTTAGAGGAATATCTAAGAACGGAAGCGAACCAGCCGTTTCGATCTCCATCGCAAATCTGATAGAGGAATGTGCCTGACTTACAGCGTTTAAGAGGGCATCTGCGTCGGTTTCTGCTGTGGCAATTGTAAAGACGTCATCAACATAGCGGCCGTAATGTTTAAGTTTTCGATCTGATTGCTTAGTTGGAATCTCTCCAATTTTCGCATGAAGACATAGGCGAGGAGATGTCCACGAGGAGTGCTCATAGCAACGCCGTTTATTTGTTTATATAGTTTGGTGTCAAACAGGAACTGCACATTAAATTTGCATCTTAGTTAGAGTTCCTTGAGTGTCTTCGTCGGAATTCCTATTCACTGCTGATTGTTTGATGGAAATTCACAGATGTAATTAACTGTCTCGGTAACGGGAGGGTTTGTAAATGTGATGAGAAGTCCAGCGAAAACATCAGCACGCCGCTGAGGTTAAGGTCTTTAATGTCTTTAATGAATTCAAAGGTATCTCGATTGCTGTGTGATGCTAGCTGATGTTGTGCGGGTTTGAATTTCTCTGCTAGCCACTTTGCTACTCGAGAGCGGAATCAGTCTGGGATACCTAGGCAGCCCTATTTAATGAAAGTGGAGAAATGCCCCGCGAGAGGAAATGGGGGTATATAGGGTTCCCGATCCTTTGCGCGCAGACCCTGACTAGTAGACTGCTAAACATGCGGTCGAAGCAAAAAATGCAAGACAAAACACAAGCACACACTCTCTTTTATCTTCCTGTACTTTTTCGCACTTTCCTCCCCCATTCCGCCTTCCGTCTCCTTATGGTGTGAGTCCTCTTACTCTGGTGGCCTCGAATATGCGTTA